CCCACCCTAAACTGACCGTAAACCCAAGGTGAATGTTGCATTTGGACCCCCGAATGATCCAAACAGAAACTGGCTTCCATTTCCTGGGAAGCAAATCAGTACAGACCTGTGTGAATTTGAACCCACACACAAAGGGGATTTTCAAAGGCTCACTTGCCAACCTTTAGTTGGGTCAAACAACAAATATATACACTGAAAAAACCTTATTTATACATTAAAAAAAATTTTTTATTAGGATATACCAATAAGTATAACTATACATCACATTACAAACTATCTTATATCCTTTTCTCCTAATATCACCCCCCCTTCTGACTTCCCGCAGTGCTCCAACCTCCAGTACAATTCTTATATTTTTTCTCTTTTCCCCATTCTTCAATAATAAAATTCTTCAGTTAACATATCTTTTATCTATTATTCTTATATGTTTAAACTTACTCTAAATGTCCTTCTATCTTCAATAATTTTCAAAGCAAAATAGATTATTTTTTACATCCCAATATTTCTCTAAATATTCTTTAAAGTCTTTCCAGTCTGCAAAAAATGCTTCTCCTTCTTGATTCTTAAGCTTTCTTGTCATTTTGTCCATTTCAACCATAAAAAGTAGCTTTTTTAACCACTCCCAAATTTCGGGAGTTCTTTCTTGTTTCCAGCATTGAGCATATGTCATTCTAGCAGTTGTAATCATATACCACATTAAAGTCCGTTTTGCTATATTGACTTCTTCCATTTTAAGTCCCAGAAGAAGCATTTCGGGCTCCTTCTTAATTTTACATTTCATAATTTTCTCCATTTCTGTATGGACCTCAGTCCAAATTTTTTTTGCTTTGTCACATGACCACCACATATGGTAAAGCGAACCCTCTATTTTTTTACATTTCCAACATTTGTTTGACATATTACTACTTATATTTGCTATCTTTTTTGGTGTCATATACCATCTATACATCATCTTATAGCAATTTTCTTTTAGATTATTATTTATAAGTTGAAGTGTTCTATATGTTCCATCTTATAAAGTGCATTGTGTATTATTCGTAATATCCTAAAACATGCAATATCAACAATAATAATCAGCTTGTACAATCTAATAGCTACCAGTCAATTTACATCCTTTTTACACAATCAACCCCAACGGGAGTTTCTAGAATTGTACACCCGCTTCTCCTTGCTTGAAAGTCTTCTAAAGGGGGACATTTCCTTTTGTGGTTACATTCATAGACGGAGCCTTGAGAAAGACAGGAGCGCTCCGTCTATGATTGTCAGCTGTTTAATGGGCCTTTTGTAGGACCAGCAACAAACATCAATTTAAACTTCAATGTAACCACAAAAGGAAACTTCCCCCTTTAGAAGACTTTCAATCAAGGATAAGCGGGTGTACAATTCTAGAAACTCCCGTTAGCGTTGCTTGTGTAAAAAGGATGTATCAGACCTCGTTGGTCCACCAAGGCCAGTATTGTCTACTCAAACGGGCAGCTGCTCTCCAAGGTCTCAGGCAGAGGTCTTTCACATCACCTACTGCCTTTTAACTGGAGGTGCCAGGGGTTGAACCCGGGACCTTCTGCATGCCAAGCAGATTCTCTGCCACTGAGCCATGGCTCCCCTATAACATATGAACACATGAAGCTGCCTTCTACTGAATCAGACCCTTGGTCCATCCAGGTCAGTATTGTCTACTCAGACTGGCAGCGGCTCTCCAGGGTCTCAGGTGGAGGACTTTCCCAACACCTACTGCCTGGTCCTTTTTAACTGGAGATGCCGGGGATTGAACCTGGGACCTTCTCCGTGCCAAGCAGATGCTCTACCACTGAGCCATGGCCCCTCTTAAGAGCTCTCCAGGGTCTCAGGCAGAGGTCTTTCCCATCACCTACTATCCTCTCCTTTTTAACTGGAGATGCCGTAGATTGAACCTGGGACCTTCTGCATGCTCTACCGGTGAGCCACTGCTCCTCTTTTCTACCAAACCTTGCTAAACAAGCAACTCTAGCAGCAAGCCGGTAGATCGTTACATTTCCAGACGAACCAATTTAAAAAGAAAAAGAAAAAAGACCAGGCCGATGAACAAGAGAGTAAATCACAAAAGGGCTATTATAGGAGATGTTTGGTAACAGTTAATGTGGACCTGAACTTGTTTTGGTGTTTTGGAGACGGAATGCTGCCAAAAAAAACGGTAATGTTCCAGTTCTTTAACAGCAGGGCACCCATTGGTAGTTCTGTGAAAAGCAAATAAATAAAACCAAGCCTCCGTTTTTCCCAGGCATAGCACAATCCCCAGAGTTCCCGAGGCTTTCTTGGTGCCAACCCCGAGACGAAGATTTGAGAAAACCTGCTGCCCATGGGTACATTTTTAAACAAGTTCCCATCAGGCCTCGTAATTCAAACAGTGATTCTCTGTGCTGACATTGAAGGGTATTGCGGGGGTAGCTGCACACAGGAGTTTCACTTCCACTTTAAATACACACCACACATTTCCCACAAGATTATGCGTGGGATAGAGCAGGTAGAGAAAGAAGTCCTTTTCTCCCTTTCTCACAATGCAAGAACTCGTGGGCACTCCATGAAATGGCTGAGCAGTCGGGGTAGAATGGATAAAAGGAAGTCCTTCTTCACCCAAAGAGTCATTCACACATGGAATTCACTGCCACAGGAGGTGATGGCGGCTACAACCAGGGACGGCTTCAAGAGGGAATTGGATAAACATGTGGAGCAGAGGTCCCTCAGTGGCTATTACCCACAAGGGATAGATAAGAACTCTCGGTCTGGGGCTGGTGATGCTCTGTATTCTTGGTGCTGGGGGGGGGGGCGCAACAGCGGGAGGGCTTCTAGTGTCCTGGCCCCACTGGTGGACCTCCTGATGGCCCCTGGTATTTTTGGCCACTGTATGACACAGAGTGTTGGACTGGATGGGCCACTGGCCTGATCCAACATTGGCTTCTCTTATGTTCTTATATGAAGCAGTGGTCCATCTGTGGCTATTAGCCACAAGGTATAGGTAGGAACTCTCGGTCTGGGGCAAGGGATGCTCTGTCTTCTTGGTGCTTGGGGGGGCAACAGTGGGAGGGCTTCTGGTACTGTTCCCTGGAAGGCCAGATAGTGAAACTGACTTTGGCCACCAAATGAGAAGGGAGCACTCACTGGAAAAGACCCTGATGCTGGGAAAGATTGAAGGTCAAAGAAGACGGGGACGGCAAAGGATGAGATGGTTAGACAGTGTCAGCGATGCAACGAACATGAAATTGAGCCAACTTCGGAGGACGGCGGAAGACAGGAGAGCCTGGCGGGAGATTGTCCATGGGGTCGCGAAGAGTCGGACTCGACTGTGCGACTGAACAACAACAATAGGTAGGAACTCTCAGTCTGGGGCAAGGGATGCTCTGTAGTCTTGATGCTTGGGGGGCAACAGTGGGAGGGCTTCTGGTATCCTGGCCCCACTGCTGGACCTTCTGATGGCCCCTGGTATTTTTGGCCACTGTGTGACACAGTGATGGACTGGATGGGCCACTGGCCTGATCCAACATTGGCTTCTCTTATGTTCTTATATGGAGCAGAGGTCCATCAGTGGCTGTGGTATAGAGAGGAACTCTCAGGCTGGGGCAGGGGATGCTCAGTCTTCTTGATGCTTGTGTTCTTATCCCCTACCAATGGCCTGGAGGAACCTGGCGGAGGAGCAGATTTCTTGGATTCCATTCCTCTATAAATCCAGAATTTCACTGCTCTGAGTTCCAATCCCCCCTGCATTCCAGTTTAATTAGGAAAAGGTCTAAAACTTGTCAAACTTGGGGTACACACCATTTAACTCCTCTTTTGATTTCCTTTGTTACTGAGCATCTTTCTCTCCTCCTACCATGCTGGTGAGCTTGCATGTGTTAACAGAATACTGAAAAGGGAAAGCAGTTGAGGAACTTGTAGCTATGCTCACAACCAAAGCTGATAGCAAGCAAACAGTTGTGCACAAAGGTGAAACACCACCCTGGGGTTGCTCCCCCTCAGGTGGCACCTGGATATGTCCCGCTGTTGCAATTCATCTCCAGATGACCAAGATCATACATAACATACGAACATCAGAGAAGCCAATGTTGGATCAGGCCAATGGCCCATCCAGTTCAACACTCCATCACACAGTGGCCAAAAATACCAGGTGCGACCAGGAGGTCCACCAGTGGGGCCAGGACACTAGGAGCCCTACCACTGTTGCCCCCCCAAGCACCAAGAATACCGAGCATCCCTTGCCCCAGATTGAGAGTTCCTATCTGTACCTTGTGGCTAATAGCCACTGATGGACCTCTGCTCCAGATGTTGACCCAATTCCCTCTTCAAGCCGTCCAGTTCCACCCCCCAACTCTCCAGCGATTTCCCAACCTGGAGCTGATAACCATGAATCTCGATCTGATTGTATGTAAAGGTAAAGGTAAAGGTTTCCCTTGCTCGAAAGCCAGTCGAGTCCGACTGTAGGGTTGCGGTGCTCATCTCAGTTTCAAAGCCGAAGAGCCAGCGCTGTCCGAAGACGTTGCCGTGGTCATGTGGCCGGCATGACTAAACACCGAGGCACACGGAACGCTGTTACCTTCCCACTGAAGTGGTACCTGTTTATCTACTTGCAATTTCTTGCTTTCGAACTGCTAGGTTGGCAGGAGCTGGAACTAGAGACGGGAGCTCACTCCCTCATGCGGCACACTCGGGTCTCGAACTGCTGAACTACCAACCTTCCACAGCCTGCAGTTCAGCGTCTTAACCACTTGAGCCACCGCAGCTCCTTTGATTGTATGTATAGATACACAAAAAGATGTTCCCTGCAGTTGGTTCTAGGCGACATGCAAGGGACGGCAAACTACGCACCCCCGTGATCGGAGGGGGGGAAAGCTCCAGAAATCCAAAATGAACTATGGAAACGGTTTCCGGTAGCCATGACGAGAAAAGACCTCCCAGTGCCCAAGACCCGGGAGACTCATTCCGAGTCGATACTACCGAGTGAGATGTATGTCGTCAGAGCTCCCACTTACCCAAGTAGTTGTTGCTCTTGAACATCTCTGTGATGTTGATCTTCGTGGCCCCCTCGGGGATCTCGACGATCTTGTGGTAGCCGAGGTTGGTCAAGGTGTGCTTGAAGACCCCGGACACAACTTTGCAGGCGGTGTTGTCTCCTCCGCAGATCCCGCACTTATCCACAACCTTATCGGAGCCCAGATAGTCATCGCAGCCGATATTCTGTACAAAAAGAGAACAGAGAGCATAGTGAAGCGTTCCCAAACAGATCCTCAATTCCTACGATGCGGTTTGCGCCTTCCAAAACCCCCGTGTCTTAATTTGACCGCTAACGGCACACATTCTTTTACGAGCCCGTGTCAAACCCTCAGAAACGATTGACGGGCCTTTGCCGTGATGCTTGCTGGCTGCGTGCGTCAACCAGTAAAACTATCTGATTACTAATGCTTCCGGTCAGGAAGAACCGGTCGTTGTGACTCGACGGCCGTAGGGTTATCCATTTGAGTTCTGTTGGTTCGGATTGGGTGGTCTGGCCTTCTTTTCAGAATAAATGTCTGTTTCATAAGCTGCTGGAGGAAGACAGCATTTAGATCTAAGGTTGCCAGTTCTGGGTTGGGTAATTCCTGGAGATTGGGGGGGGGGGAGCAAGGTTTGGGGAGGGGATGGACCTCAGTGAGGTGTAATGCCATAGAGTTCAACCTCCAAACCAGCCATTTGCTCCAGGGGAGCTGATCTCTGTAGGGTTGCCAGGCGCCCCCCCACCCAGCCACAAGTGGGAATTCGCGGTTAGGGTTGCCAGCTCCAGGTTGGGAAACTTCTGGAGATTTTGGGATGGAGCCTGAAGAGGACAGGGACGTCAGTGGGGGAAGGAGGAGGAGAAGGAGGAGGAGGAGACGAAGAAGAAGGAGGAGGAGGAGGAGGAGACGAAGAAGAAGAAGAAGGAGAGGGAGGAGGAGGAGAAGAAGGAGAAGGAGAAGAAGGAGGAGGAGGAGAAGAAGGAGAAGGAGGAGGAGGAGGAGAAAGAAGAAGAAGGAGGAGGAGGAGGAGGAGCTGTTTTTTCTCTACCCTAAATAGTCGCAAGGTGGCTTACAATTTCCTTCCCTTCCTCTCTCTACAACAGGCACCTTGTGAGGTAGGTGGGGCTGAGAGCATTCTGAGAGAACTGTGACTGGCCCAAGGTCACCCAGCAGGCTTCATGTGGAGGAGTAATTGGGAATCGAATCTGGGAATCTCCAGATTAGAGTCCACTGCTCTTAACCACTACACCACTATTCCACACTGGCTCCACTATGGCATCGCATCGTGCTGGCTCCACTACACCATGCTGGAGACAGAACAGCAGCAGGAGACATTGTATTTATTTGACAAAATGTTTTAGGTAAGTTTATATTGTTAGACTTATAACTACTTTTAGTATTAGTGTTATTTGTTGTCTCCTGTATTTATTCTAGGGTTTTGTGCTGAAATGGTCTCAACAACAGTGGCTATTTCAGGGCTGGCCTGTCCACAAAGCAGCCTTCAGCAGTTTCCTAGGGCACCAACTGTGGAGAGCTGCCAAACAAACCAGTCCCCCAGCCCCCAGGGGCACTGGAGAGAGGCTTCCAATCCCAGTGGATGGATGGCCACCCTCCATTGGGAGGTGGGGCAGGACAGGCCTCATCCTGCCACGGGGGATTAAGAAGGTGTGTGTCAGCTGCCAGAGGCTAGAAGGACGGGCAGCATTTTCCCACCTCTCAATGACACTGCGGGTGGAGATGATGGTGAGCACAGCTTTCCTGGATCCATGCAGGGGGTGGCTTGGGAACCCTGATCATCCTTGCCTAGGGAGCCCCAAATCCTTGGGTGGCCCTGGGTTATTTAACAATTTTCTTAATTTTCAATCTCTGGGTAGAGAGGATATTCTGTTTAATATTCATACTGTGTAGATGTTTGAAAACCTCAAAACAATCAATATTCAAAACTAATAAATAGATTTCCCATTCCAAATTGAAGAAGTCCTTACCCATCCTTGATGATATCATAAGTCCAAGTTGTAAAATCATTATTGTCAGGTGATGCTGTACATGTATCCAAAAACACCTGTGAGGTAAGGTGAGGCTGGGAGATTTCCTGAGGGCTGCTCTTGAGAGAACAGCTCTGAAAGAACTTGTGACTGACACAAGGTCACCCAGCTAGCTGCATGTGGAGGAGTGGGGAGCCAAACCCAGTTCTCCCAGATTAGAGTCCACTGCTCTTAACCACTACACCAAACTGGCATACAGTCCACCCTTCAATGCATCCATCTTCTCCAGGAGATCTGATCTCCGCAGTCTGGCGGTGAGCTGTAATTCTAGGGGATCCCCAGCTCCCACCTGGAGGCTGGCATCCCTAGATCTCTGCAGCTCGGAGCACAGATGTGATTCCAGGGTATCTCCTGCCACCATCTGGAGGCAGCTTTGAGAATGACAGGAGGACTCCGTCCATGAATGTTAGCTGCACAATGTGTCTTTTGCAGGACCGGCAAAAAGCATCCAAACAACTATTAAGAAAGCTGTCCCCCTTTTTGGAAGACTTCATGCAAGGAGAAGCGGGTTTGTAATTCTAGAAACTCCCATTGGGGCTTGACTTTTAAAACACTGATGCAAAATTGTCTGGTAGTTATCCATCTGTATGTACTGAATGTTATTGCTTATTGAATGTAATGAATATTTATACCTGACTAGGATGAAATAACGATACAAGATGCACTTTACTCAATGATGACCATAAATAGAACACATTAGTCTGTTAAAAGGTTTCTGCAGTGTCTATTTGTTGCTAGATTCTCCTAACACTGCAGCTCGGTGGGCTGAGGGACGCAGCTAAAACACTCGGAATACTGCTGTTTTTTAACTGCAAGCAAATCCTCGACGTGGGCAGACCGGAGCCCTCCACAGAAAACAAACATTTGATTTTTCAAAGACATAAGTTGTGGAAACAGAACCCAGCTAGCCGCACTCGACGCTGTGCGAGCATTCAGATTGTAACCGCCACACGATCGAACAAGGGCAGCCATTCTTCTCTGCCCAAGACATTCCTGGAGCCTACTGAAAAATCGCAATGCGAAGTAGGCACACAGTGAAGCTCTGTGTTCCGCTGGATCGCCGCGGCGCTCCCCCTTCCAAGAGCGTGCGCCGCATATTTATAACGCTGATGAGTTATGACATTTTGGACCAGACACCTGTAATGGGTCCAAAACACTGAATATAACTGGTCTCCGGCCAAGATAATTTTCGGGGTGAAGGAGAAAGCGGGGGTTTTTTTTCTCCCTGCCAGGTTGATTTTCTTCTCTGTGTGTTTGTTTTCGAGGCAGCTGTTTCGAGCAGCTCAGCACTTTGGAATGTTGGGGGCGGGGGGGGGAGAAAAGTGACGGTCGGGGAAGGGGAACTATGGAGGGAGGGGGCAGAGGGGGTCGGGGGGGTGGTGGAAAGGGCCATCAGGCCGCAGCTGAGTTGTGGTGGTCTTGTAGGGTTTTCAAGGCAAGGGACATTCAGAAATGGTTTGCCCTTGCCGGCCTCTGCGCAGCAACCTTGGACTTCCTTGGCGGTCTCCCATCCACGTACTAACCAGGGTCGACCCTGCTTAGCTTCCGAGATCTGACGAGACTGAGCTAGCCTGGGCCATCCAGGTCAGGGCGAGTTGGCTGTACAGGACCTAACTGCGCTCCATCACCAAGGAAGGATAAATTGTGGTCAGATGATCAGAACAACCAGAAACAAGCAGAAAAGCCGTGTGGCACACTGGTTAGGGCATTAGACTAGGATCGGGGAGACTCGAGTTTGAATTCCTCACTCTACCATGGAAGCTTGCTGGGTGACCTTGGGCCACTTTGAGCCTAACCTTTTTAGAAGAAGAGGAGGATAAGAGACTGGATTTATACCCCGCCCTTTACCACCCAAAAGAGTCTCAGAGCGGCTTACAATCTCCTTTCCCTTCCCCTCCCCACAACAGACACCCTGTGATGTAGGTGGGGCTGAGAGAGCTCTTGAGAATGGCCCTTGAGAGAACAGCTGTGAAAGAGCTTGTGACCTAAGTTCCCTCTAAGTTTTGGAATCTTGTGAGCAAACATTCTACTTTGTGAGCTACTGACATTAAAGTTGTAAGCAAGCGATTTGGCTACCACATCAATTAGTTTGCTCTGGAGCCATCCTTCCTGAGCTAAGGCAAAAATCTGTGAGCTGGAGGCTAAAAAACTGTGAGCTAGCTCACAATAGCTCAGCTTAGAGGGAACACTGCTTGTGACTGACCCAAGGTCACACCAGCAGCTGCATGTGGAGGAGTGGGGGATCAAACCCGCTTCTCCCAGACTAGAGTCCACGTTCCTTACCAGTACACAAACTGGCTATCCATCCCCTCTTCTTGCCTTAATCTATTGATGGGTTGAGGTGTGGTTTGTTAGCTCGCTTTTTCCCCATTTCCCAGATTCCCATTGAAGAAAGCAAATTAAGATACAGCTGTCGATGCTATAGATGAGCCCCACCAGAGATGAGAAAGGTTTCCATTGCAACGTTCTTGCGAGCATTTGCAGACCCTCCTTCTCTTCGACAAGAGGAGTTGTTCTCCCAGACGGAATCTTTTCTGAGGACATCTCCCCCTCCCTCTCCCCAAAGGATAGGAACCTAAACACTAAATCGAGGCAGCTGGAATTGACTCTTTCCAAACCCGCAATTCGCGATAATGACCGAAAGCAGATTCTGTTTGCCCTGATTGGATTCTGAAGTTTGCATCCCTTGAAAAATGCGTAATCTCGAAAACATGCCAGGAATAAAAGATACAGGGCTGTGTCTCTCCCGTACTCGGCCGTTTCCCTGAAATCTTTGTAACGAGATCTCGCACGCGAGTCCCACCGTACAGCTGCATTTGAGACACTGAGCCCTGATGTTTTTAATTGTGGACATCTGAAAACAAAACCTCATTGCTGGCAGACATTGATGTGGAGCTATCGATGGGTCGGATGATAGGAAGCCAGGGATGACCTGTCTGCTCACCCGGGGACCCTGCCCCACCTTTTCCAGCGCTGGGTTTCTAAGTGGTGTTGCAAGATCCCAGTGGGCCCAAATTCAATTCACATAGGGCTCAGATCCCGCGGCTGATTTCCACATTCTCCACTGGGAACCTGACCGACGCTCCCTCTAAGCTGTGGAGTCTGGTGAGCAGCAATTCTACTTTGTGAGCTCCTGGCATTCAAGCTGTGAGCGAGCGAT